AAATACTGAAAACCAAATGAGAGATTAATAAAATTGAAATTAAGAAAACTATTGAACTATAAATAAAACTAAGAACAGGTTTTATGAAAAAAAAACAATAAAATAGTTACATCTTTGGTTAATTTGATTTAAAAAAAAGAAGAAAACCCAATTACCAGTATCAAAAATGAAAAGGGTGAATTCACCACCAATGAAGAGGAAATTAGAACAATGATTAGGAACTATTCTGTCCAACTGTATGCCAATAAATTTGACAATCTTAGTGAAATGGATGAATATTTACAAAATATAAATTGCTCAGATTAACAGAAGAGGAAATAAAATCCTTAAATAACCCCATTTCAGAAAAAGAAATTGAACAAGCCATCAATGAACTCCCTAGAAAAAATCTCTGGGGCCAGATGGATTTACAAGTGAATTCTATCAAACATTTAAAGAACAATTAATTCCAATACTATATAGACTATTTGGGAAAAATAGGTGAAGAAGGAGTCCTATCAAATTATTTTTATGATACCGATAAGATACTGATACCTAAACCGGAGTCAAAACAGAGAAAGAAAATTATAAACCAATTTCCCTAATGAATATAGATGCAAAAATTTTAGACAAAATATTAGCAAAAAGATTACAGCAACTCATCACGAGAATAATAACACTATGACCAGGTAGGATTTATACCAGAAATGCAGGGCTGGTTCAATATTAGGAAAACTATCAGCAAGATTGACCATATCAACAACAAAACTAACAGAAACCATATGATTATCTCAATAGACGCAGAAAAAGCTTTTGAGAAAATACAACACCCATTCTTATTAAAAACACTAGAGAGCACAGGAATAAGTGGAGTCTTCCTTAAAATGATAAGTAGCATCTACCTAAAACCATCAGCAAGCCTTATATGTAATAGGAATAAGCTAGAAGCATTTCCAATTAAGATCAGGGGTGAAACAAGGATGTCCATTCTCACCACTGTTTTTCAATATGGTACTAGAAATGTTAGGTTTAGCAATAAGATAAGAAGAAGAAATTTAAGGAATTAGAATAGGCAAAGAAGAAACAAAGCTATCACTCTTTGCAGATGATATGATGATATACTGAGAGAATCAAGTAAAACACTACTCAAAATAATAAACAGCTTTAGCCAAGTTACACGATAAAATCAACCCACATAAATTATCGGCATTGCTATATATCACTCTCAAAGCATGACAGCAAGAGATAGAAAGAGAAATTCCATTTAAAGTTACTGTAGACATTATAAAATATTTGGGAGTCTACCTGCCAAAACAAACCCAGGAACTATATGAATACAATTACAAAACACTTTTCACACAAATAAAGTCAGATCTAAACAAATGGGAAAATATCGATTGCTTATGGGAAGGTCAAGCTAATATAATGACAATTCTACCTAAATTAATTTATTTATTCAGTGCCATACCAATCAAACTACCAAAAATCATTTTACAGAGCTAGAAAAAATAATAACAAAATTAATCTTGAAGAACAAAAGATCCAGAATATCAAGGGCATTAATAAAAAGAAATGCCAGGGAAGGTGGCCTAGCCACACCAGATCTTAAATTGTATTATAAAGCAGCAATCATTGAAACTACTTGGTACTCACTGAGAAATAGAGTGGTGGATCAGTGGAATAGGTTGGGTACACAAGACACAGTAGTCAATGACTATAGTAATCTACTGATAAAGCCAAAGACCCCAGCTTCTGGGATAAGAACTCACTATTTGAGAGAAACTGCTGGGAGAACTAGAAAATAGTATAGCAGAAACTAGGCATAGAACAATATCTTACACTCTATACCAAGATAACTCAAAATGGTTACACGATTTAGATATAAAGGCTGATACTATAAACAAACTGGGAGAGCAAGGAATTATTTACCTGTCAGATTTATGGAGAACAGAAGAATTTATGACCAAACAAGAGACAGAGAACATTATGAAATGCAAAATGGATAATTTTGATTACATTACATTGAAAAGTTTTTGTACAAATAAGGGCCAATGCAACCAAGATTAAGAGGAAAGCAGAAAACTGGGAAAGAATTTTTACAACCAGAGTCTCTGATAAGGGCCTCATTTCTAAAATATATGGAGAACTGAGTCAAATTTATAAGAATGCAAGTCATTCCTCAATTGAGAAATGGTCAAAGGTTATGAACTGGTAGTTTTCAGATGAAAAAATTAAAGCTATCTATAGTCATATGAAAAAATGCTCTAAATCACTATTGATTAGAGAAAGGTAAATCAAAACAACTCTGAGGTACCACATCACACCTATCATATTGGCTAACATAACAAAACAGGAAAATGATAAAGCTGGAGAAAATGTGGGAAAATTGGAACACTAATGCATTGTTGGTGGAGTTGTGAACTGATCCAACGATTCTGGAGAGCAATTTGGAACTATGCCCAAAGGGCTATAAAGTTGTGCATATCCTTTGACCCAGCAACACCACTTCTATGTTTGTATCCCAAAGAGATCATAAAAACAGCAAAAGGACACACAAAAGTATTTATAGCAGCTCTTTTTGTGGTGGCAAAGAATTGGAAATTGAGGGGATGCCCATTAGTTGGGGAATGGCCGAACAAGTTGTGGTATATGAATGTAATGGAATACTCTTGTGCTATGAGAGATGATGAGCAGGCAGACTTCAGAAAAACCTGGAAAAACCTGAATGAACTGATGCTGAGTGAAGTGAGCAGAACCAGGAGAACATTGTACACAGCAACAGCCACAATGTGCGATGACTAACTTTGATAGACTTATCTCTTCTTAGCAATGCAAGGATCTAAGACAACTCCAAAGGACTCATGATGGAAAATGCTATCTACATCCAGAAAAAGAACTATGGAGTCTGAATGCAGATTGAAACATATTATTTGCTCTCCCTCTTTTTTTTTTGTTTGTTTCTTCTTTCTTGTGGTTTCACCCATTGGTTCTAATTCTTTACAACATGACTAATGTGAATATATGTTCAATATGAATGTCTATGTGGAGCCTATATCAAATTGCATGCTGTTTTGGGGTAGGAGGAGGGGAGAGATGGGGAGAAAATTTGAAACTCAAAATCTCATAGAAGTGAATGTTGAAAACTAAAAATTGATAAATTTAAAAAAATTAAAAAAAATTGATAATGATTTCAATGTAATTGGCTTCCTTTGATATCCTATGTTTTTAAATTTTATGCACTTAATTCTGAGAGAGGGTCTATATGCTTCACAAGACCAAAAAGGTCTGTGACACAAAAAAGGTTTAAGAACTCCTGTATTGCAAGGAGATACTGGAAGTTGCAGTGGGAAGCAAGGAGTATTCTGATTTTCCCACCAATACCAACGAGTTGGGGGAAGAGGGTTACATAAAAAAAAAAGTGCAACCAGTCCTAGAAAGAATGGCCAAGGATACACTATGATCAAGAGAGTATCAGGCCTTAGAGAGTTACAGAAGATGGAAGGAGTGAAAGAAGATTAATATGAAAGCATAATTGTTAATTATGGAGCAGGCATTCCAGAGAGCACAGTAGAAGGGTAGACCTAGAGTGAGATATTTGGCAGATAGGGTTGAGGGGGATGAGAGTGAGGACATGGGCAATTGGGATTGGGGAACAGTGTTTGTACTTCAGCAACCCAAGAGTGCAAAATCACTGGAATAGAGAGAGGATGATGAACTAGGAATATTCTAAACACTGAGGAAGGAGTCTAGGCAGAGTCCCAAAGGTCGTTTGAGGGAGGAAGGTGATTCGACTGTTCCAGACCTCCCTTGAGGCCAGTGATGCTTTTGTGTTCTGGGAGGCAGGAACAGGAGTTATGACTGGGGTGATTCCAGTCAGGACTCAAGTTGTGTGCAGAGATCTGGATCTGAGTCTGCTGCCAGCTGGGAAGGCCTTTGTCAAAAAGGCCCTGGAAGATGGGTGGCTTGAATCCTGGGCCATAGATGGGCCTTTGGGGAAGGTCTTAAAAAGAATGTAAACTCCTTGAGGGCAGGGACTATTGTTTCATTTTATCTTCAAATTCTTAGTACCTAGCACAGTGCCTTACTCATAATGGATGCTGAGTGTTTGCTTAATGAATTATCTCAACTTTGTGTCTCCTCTAATGGTTAACACAGTGCACTGCACACAGCAGATGTTTAATAAATGTTTACTGTATTGAAGTGAGTTTGCTTTGAAGCTCTTTCAAATAGTAGTCATTCTATTACCTAGGGCAAACTTAAAATATCTTCTCTCTATGGAAAAGATTTTTTAGCCGCCCTCCTGCAGCTCAACAACTTGGTAACTGTTTTTCACCTTCCTGCTGCCTACACTAGCCCAATTTCCAACTGCTATATTTGGGGTCCCTTTGATCCAACTTTGTACCTGTTCTAAACCTATGGGGTCAGAGATGGGAGGGAGAGAAGGGGAAGACCCTTCTTAATACTATACTTGAAACCATCTTTTCCTTGTGAAAGTTGATCAAGGAAAACTGGGAATAAGAAATCATGAATAAGTGTATTCTGGACCTTTCTAGACCAAACCGTCGACAAATGACTCATCAATATAAATCTATCTCCTGGGAAAAAATTCAAAGTGATTACTCTCAAGATTGTGTGTCACTAGTGTTAACTTCCTACATAAAGGCTAGCACATTAGGAAGAATAATTACTCTGTTAAGTTCAGAGCTGTATAGATAGAGAAAATTGTTGTTCACATCTCCATTTTAGCAGACAAATCTCCAGTTAAAGTGTCTTTACTCTAAAGAGAAAGATACTAGTACAGATTTTGGGTATAGGAAAATATGTGTATTGAGGCTTATTACCCTTTCAAAGACAACCCTGAAAACTGTTGAATTTGCTTTATTTGTATTAAGGTTAAAAATTAACCAGAAATGAAAAGTGTCCATAACTTTTATTTCTCTTCTTATGTAAAACTTACGTTGATATAATCTAATTTGTTAGATGTTATACCATCAAACATACAGTAAATACAATATGGCTGAGATAATATTGTGGTGTTAACCATCTGTCTGTGTACATCTGCACTTCATTACTATGCAGAACAAAGTGAAGCCTTCCACCATTAAAATAATTGTGCTTTCTCCCCTTCAATTTTCCGTCTTGATGTTTAGTCTTTTTAAACATAAAATGAAAAACTTAAGACCCCCCAGGAGATACGGTAACCACCCGGCATTTTTCATAACCTTTGCAGGAAAATTCATTTTGGTACTTAGTCAAGAAAGTCAAACTCCCGTCCAAAGGATATTTTTGGAAAATGAAATAGAATTGGGATGGATATTTGTTTGTAGTGTTAACTTTACTGTTCATGTTCACATGGACGATGAAGTCAGGACGTATTTCATTTGGGAAGCCTTAACATGGCACATCTGAAATGGGCCCAGAGCACCTTAGATGACCTTCACAATGTTAATGTCATAGGATCATTAGAAAAGGAAATGCAGAAACACGAACATGTCAGTATTTTCTATGAAAATAAATGTTCATATTTTAAAGTAACACAAACACAAAAATATTTTTTGCATGAAAAAAATCTCACATTTTCAATTTTAGTTCAACTGAGCTGTACTAGATTGTTTTATTCAAAATGCTCTTCCGTCTTTAAGTTCGCTTCTGTCGTTACAGAGGAAATGGATTTTTAGTGTACATGATTCAAGTGGGAAAAGAGCTGCATAGTTAATTCCAAGATACTCCTTAGACTGGAAAAATCTCTGTGATAGCAGTCATGTTTATTTTATGGCAACTCTACAGCAGAACACTTTAGGATGTTAATGCAATAAAGCAAACAGCTTTATAGAACAAAATACTTACTATTTTCTAGTTGCCTTATAGCAATTATTTACTCAAGAAAACAGAACAAGAGTTTTCATTTTCATTCATCAGCTTTGCAAATGTTTTGCCAGGGCTTTTTGCCTTGGGGGTGGAGGGGAAAGCAAATAAAAAAGTTTAAAGGCTCATATATGTCTCTTTTGTTTTACCCTGGTGTATTTATTGAGAGTATATTCTGTATGTCTTTGCAGTTCATCTATATGTGTATTTAAAAGCTTTTCCAGGTCTTTCGCTCGTTTCTCTTCTTCCATAAGGAAATTCTGTGCTGTCAAAGAAGCAGGGAATGACATCTCTGGGGGAGACTGAACAAAAATAAATAAATAAATAAATAAGAGTCAGCTGAGAAAAGCAAGAACAATGTGGTTCCCCACCACTACCACCACCATATTTATATGGCACATTTCATCCCGAAGAAATAACCAATACTTTACAAAGTTAATGTTAACGAAGACTATAGCTTGCATTACAGCATTTAACAGTATGATAGACACCTCTTTTGTGAAACCCAGACACCACTGCATAATGGAGAAGAGTGAGATAATTAGAATAAAAACAGTAATCTTTGAAATGTAACTTTTCAACACTGTATACTACTAGTTGGCAAACCTAAATTTTCTCATTAAAAAAAAAACCCCACTCCTAAGTAAAAAAAAAAAAAGTATTTCAGGATATACTGTAAGGAGGGCTTACAGTATACCAACAAAGGATAGATTATTACTACTTTGGGAAGACTTTGCTTCATAATAAAAGCTAAATAAATTTGCCTTGGACCAATCCCCTCATTGTTTTTGATTCACTTCATAGTGGCCACTCAAGAGAGAAGAGAACATTCTTTTGTGCACCATCACCCATTTTCCTAATTAAGGTGCTCCACTTCTATAATTAAGAACTCTGCAATATCCCTGTCTAACAATACATTTCTTCATGACATTTCTCCCTATGCCTCATCCCTCCTACGTCTATTCTCGCAAGGTCCTTGTCTGCTCTCGAATTCTTTGCTCCCTTATTGTAACTCATGCCTTGCTGAATCCCAGTCCTGGATTACCTCTATCAGCAGTATGTAGCAGCTCTGACTAAAGAGCTATCAATCTATCCTTATCAGGAAGCAGTTGTAGCCACTATGCTATAGCAGACTGGAGCTGAGGTCGGAGGATGGCTCTGAAGAGGTGAGTCAAGAAGCCAGCAACAGGAAGGAATGCTCAGAAGGCACTCACGTGCCCAGCAGCCACTATGTGACCATTGGTGTTCACATTCAGCTCGGAGAGATTATTGGCTCAGTAGCTGCCATAGGACCAGTAAGGACCAGCAAAATAATGTCCAGTGGGAACCATACACCCAGCAAGGTGAGCAGCGTGATGACATACCAGAAGTCATTGGTGGTCTTCCAGTGTCAGACGCAAGAGGTAACTGTTCTACATATATGCCCTGGCCACGTATGTTTCCCAGGTATGTGTGTCCCTCACGAGTGATACCTATGTGCCCGCTCTCTACACTAATAGTATGTGTATTTGTGGGAGAATGCGCCCTAGGGTTCTGGGAGGAATGTTCTGTTGCCACTTTTATTACAATGATATTTCATTAAATTTCTTTGCTTTGAACTAATGGTGTCCTCTGGCTATCTATAGAAAAACTAAACGCATTAGGCCCCATAAAGTACTTTGAATCTGGGGTAGCTGTTTTGAGGACTTCATGTACGAGAAGAGGGTACCCTAGGTACTACAGCTTTTGCATTCCCCACAGTGGATATTCCAAACCTCTTCTTTCCTTATACCATTCCTTTCACATCCTCTAACATAAAACTTCACTTTATACTTTATTGAGAAAATAGAAGCTATTCACCATGAGCTCCCTCTTCTCCCCTAACACACCTTGACATCATCCTCTATTCTGTTATCCTTTATTCTGATGAGAATTCCTCCAGTCTCTAATGAGATGGCCTTTCTTGTCACCAATGTCAATCCCATTGTATCTTTGATCCTATCCCCTCCCATTTCCTCTTACATATTGCCCTCCCCCCATTACCCTGTTCCTCTAATCTTCAATCTCTATCTGCTCTCTCCTTCTCTGCTGCCTACAAACACACACATGACTTCTCTATTTCTTAAAAATGTTTTCGATGCTATCGTTCCACCCCTCCCCCCAATTCTTGTCCTCTCTTTCCTCTTTCATAGCCCAACTCCTGGAAAGAAGCTATCTACTCTGATCTCTATTTCCTCTCCTTTCACTCATGTCTAAACTTGAAATCTGGCTTCTGACCTCATCACTCAACAGAAACTGGCCTACCAGTGCTTTCTAACTGCCACCTCTAAAGGTCTTTTCTCATTCCTCATCCTTTCTGACTTTGTGCAGCATTTAATACTATGTATCATCTTATCTTCCTAAATGTTCTCTTTTTGGGTGAAGTGCGGAGCTTTGGACATGCTACCTGCTCGTGGTTCTCTTCCTACCTATGCGACCCCTCTTTATCAGATGGTTGTTGGATGGTCATTCATGTCCTGCATCTTCACTGGAGCATAGTATAAGCCAAGGTTTGGTCAAAGCTCTCTTCTTTCTTTATATTCTATCAGTAAATCTCATTTGTTTTCATGGATTGAATGATTATTTCTCTACAGATGACGACAATTACCATTGTCTCTCCTGAGATCCAGTTCTAAGTCACCTGTTAGACCTTTCCAGATGGATGTCCCATAAGCATCTAAAACTCAACATGTTCAAAACAGGACTCTTTCCTCTAAACTCACCCTTTTTTGGAATTTCTCTATTTCTGTTGTGAGCATCCCCTTTTTACCTAGCTTCAAAACGTTGCAAGAATTTTCGCCTTCTCCCTATTCCCTGAAGATTTTTAAACTGCCTCATACCCAGCCGCTTGTGGATTCTACTTCTAGAGCATTTCTAGTGTTCATCTCTTCTTTGCTCACATAACTACTACCACCTCTCACTTGGGTGACTGGAATAGCCTCCTAATGGGCATCCCTGCCTTCAGGCTCCCTCGACTTCAATTCATCTTTCACAGATAGATGACAGAGTGATATTCCTAAGACACAAGTGTGACCACCTCCCTCTCCTAGTCACACCATTCCAGTGGCTTTCCATTGCTCCTAGGATAAAGTGCAGACTTCATTGTATGAGCAATGCCCCCTCCCAGCAGATGCCTTCTGTTTGGCACAGAAAACCCTTTGCAAACTGGTCAGAAGCCAGATGTGTGGCTAAGAATGAAGATTTTCAAAGCTCTTTGAAGATGAGACAAACACGGGTAGGTCTTGCTTTCTGGGCACTTTTTTTCTCTTCCCATTGGGATCCTTTTTCCACCTCAACTACCCCATAAGCTTAACTGCTTACCTTTTTAGTCTTATCAGGACTATCAATTTCCCAGTTCCTCAGTTTGTACCTGAAATCATGTTTGACTCTTTATTCTGATCCCTTCCTCCACATCCAATCTATCACAAAATCGTATTGATTGCTTTCCTCTTTAATACCTTTGAAGATGTTCAGCCAGCAGAATAGAAGATTTGGAGGAGGGAAGGGGGATTTGCACAGTAGTTGCTTTCAGGTATATGAAGTAAGTACTATCATGTGAAAGAGGGATTTGATTTATTTTGCTTAGGCCCAGAAGGCAGATCTAGAAGCAATGGATAGAATTTGCAAAGAGGCAAATTTTGGATTGATATAAAGAAGAGGTTGCTAACAATTAGAGCAATCCAAAAATGAAATGCACTCCCTTTGGAGGAAATGAAAGTCTGAGTGGAATGGCGGGGATGCTTTCTTACTGGAGGACTTTAAGAAAACATCAGCTTTTATTAAGAGGAAAATTCTTGTTCAGGTGTGAGTTGGATTAATTTGGCCTCTAAAGTCCCTTCTAATTCTGATACTTCTCCATATTCTACATTTCTGTAGCTTCCACTGCATCTGTGGAAAACTTTTTTCGTTTGTTTTACATAGGAGTGTCTTTCAAAATCATATACAGTAGAATGATTTTTGCTACTTCTAGAAAATCCTATTCACCCTATTATTTATCCTAACCACTTTTTATCAACTTTCTCTCTTACTCTCATTTCTCAACCTTTTCTTCTCTCTTCTGACCCTCAACCATAACACCACCCCCAATACTGAAACGATGAGTTAGCTTCCCATTTCACTGAGAAGACTGATGCCATCCGGAGGGAGGCCTTCAGGTTTCCTCTTCTATTACTCAATACTTCTTGGCATCATCAGAAACTGTTTCCTTATTCTCCCCGATTGCAATAGGATCCCTACTCATTAAGGCCAAATCATTTCCTTGCACTCGATTCCATTCTCTTTTATTTTTGTAAGACCTTGCTTTACATGGTCATCTCCTTTTTTTATCTTTTCTCTCTTCCTTCTCCACTAGTTCTCTTCCATCTGCCTTTACACTTGCTCAAGTCTCCCCAATTAAAAAAAGACTTCCCTTGATTTTTCTACTCAATCCAACAACTATCTAATCTCTCTCCTTTCCTCCATTGCTAAATTTCTTGAAAAAGCTATTTATACCTGATACTTTCACTTCTCCCTCACTCAAACCTTAACCCCTTACATTCTATGGCCTGTCCCTGGGAGAGTCAGGGATTTGTCAGATATTGTTAGTGACCTCTTAATTTTTGAATCACTAATTGGCTTATAGATTTAGAGTTGCAAGGGGCCTGAAACATCATCTAGCCCAATTCCTTCTCTTTATAGAGGAGTGATTTCCCCAAGGTCACATAGGTACTAATTCTTAGCATAGCCAAGACTTAAACCTGGCTGACCCCAGATCCAACACTCTTTCCCCTGCCCCACAACACCATTTTTTCCCAGTCCTCATGCTTCCTAAACTCTCCCGCTTCTGACAGCACTGACCCTTTCTTATAGATATTTTCTCATGCCTTCCTCGCCTGACTCTCCTGTTACCTCGCTCATTGCTCCTCTTCCTGACCCCTTAAAGGTTAGTGTTCCTCAAGATTCCGTCCTTGGCCCTCTTCTGTTTACATACCTTATCCTTTAGAAATAATATTCTCTCTATTTAATCGTTCATCAAGTCCTGTCAATCCTACCTCTACCACATAGAGACTCGCTCTGCTTCTTTCTATTCCTTTTGCCACCACTCTAGGACATCCCCTTACTAGAATGCACCTGAATGAACACGATAGTTTTAATAGGTTTTCCTCCCTTGATTTTTTCCCTTCTCCAATTCATCTTTCATACTGCTAATGCCAGACTCATGTTCTGTATTTATAGATCTGTTTGTGGCGCTCGTATGTTGAAAAAAATCTTCAGGGATTGGTTGCTATATAAATGTATGGAAGGGAATAGTTGTAAAAACTGTGGAATTGACAAAGCTAGCAACTGACTGGAAAGGAGTGAATGGGGATGGTGAGAATAAAAAGTTGAGGAACACTCTGGAAGAATGATGGCGCCCTCCATAGAAACAGATGAATCTGGAGAAAGGACAAACTGGAGGTGGGGAGTAATCCATTTTGGACAGTGACTTTGAAATGCCTGTGGGATGGATCTGTTCAATGCCAATGCTAGACTGGAGCTCAGAAGAGAGATCAGAGGTAGAATATTCTAATGAAGCCGTAATGAACTGATATCATGAACATTCTTATCTCGTTTGAAAGGCAAATTTGCTAATTTTTGGAAAACTCTTAAAGATTGGATAGAGAATTTGTCTGTTATAGAATTTAGAAAGTGCTCATAATAGTTTTCAGGGCTTAAATATGGGGCATGTTTTATTTATTTTGCTTACTTTGTTGGTATGTTATCATTTTTTGTTCAAAGAAAGTAACCACTGTTTTGTGGAAATGAATGAAAAATATAACTGATGGTTAATTTGTTTATATTTCTGATCTTTAAGGGTATCCATAATTCCAAAAGGTTTTGTATTCAGATCTCTTCCTCCTTGCATACTACTTCATTCTTTTCGATCTCTCTTTCATATGAAAGAGATCTCTTTTCATACCAAAACTAAGGGTAATAGATTTTTTTTTTTGCTTCTTTGGTGAGGCAATCAGAGTTAAGTGACTTACCTAGGGTCACACAGCTAGTAAGTGTCATGTGTCTGAGGCTGGATTTGAACTCCAAGACCAGAGCTCTAGCCACTGCACCACCTAGCTGCCCCTTAGATTTCTTTTCAAATGAGAAAAGATACTGTTTATCTGAGCTCCTATAATATACCATCTAATTAAGCCTTGTCTGAATTTAGCATTTGCATGAAATACTTGTATTCCATAGAGATTATAAAAATCATTAAATAATATGTCAAAGATGTTTTAAATGCTACACATGCAGACTGAAAAGTCAATATAACTTACTAAGAAAAATATTATTTATTTTCTGGAAAAGCACAACTCTGAAAAACAAATACTACGAAAAGAAGATATATGATTATACCATTCACTTACTTTTCTTTATATTTAATAAGATTTTCCATTAACTGATAAAATAGAACTATATACAGAGATATTATTTTCATAGTTCCTGAGTGACTGAATAATTGAAATATTAACACTCTGCACAGGAAATGGGTGCCAGTGTTCTGAGTTAGTACTGCCTTGGCAACCAGAAACATATCCAATATGGCATCTAATCTGCCTCAAGTAAGTAGCTTGAAGCTCCTGGACAACTCTCAGATTATCCAGCAATGTCCTATTTCTCGTGCTGCCAGGTTTACCAAAGTGGAGGACTAAAAAAAAAAAATGGATAAATTTCAACTGCATGAGAGAATGATATTGTCTAGATTAGAGTTCTCGCCTCTAAATAGAGATATTCCCTAATAAATGGCATGTCCAACTGTAGTTTTATTCAAGGAGTCACCTCTTTTAATAAAGATACAATTTAATAAATAAGTATAAGCAATAGTTGTAGGCAGCATGTTCATTTTCACATGAAAATGGTCCCAAATTATGTCATAAAATGCTAATAGCTAAGTTTATCCAATTTGATCATAACAAAAATTGACCATTTATATAGGACTTTAGTTTTGGAAAATCCTTTATCCCCTGGATCTTCACAACAACCTTCCAGAGTTGGCAGTATATATATTATTATTCCCATTTTACAGATGAGGAAATTGAGGGTCACAGAGATTAAAAGATTTGCCAATGGTCACTTAATAACTTTCCAAAGTGGGATTTGGGATCTATAGTGATTACTCCTTTAAAGGAGAAAAACTCAATTAAGTAGCAACTCACCAATGGATAAACTCCGTCTTCACTCCCCAAAGGGCTTGCAATATCTTTGACAGGAAACATGTTACACTGGGGCTGAAATGCCACAGGTGATGATGTAGTTATCACACCTAAGTTTGGTTCACAATCTTGGATAAGTCTACAAGAGAAGGGGGAATTGTTACTGTTACTACTGTATTTCTACCATTTTACCCATGTAGGATTTATATTTCTTTGATGGCTAATACATTCAAGTATTACACATATCAAAACTTTTTTCTTCTTACTGGAGTACGCTAAAGTATTCACTATAAAACATCCTTATGAAATAAACTTAATAAAACTTCGATCTTTTAATTGATGCCTTTGGTATTTACATCACATTTATTCTTGAGTGTATTTGTCCCCTCTCCTGCCCACCAATTCTTCCTTTGTAACAAAGATTAAAAATGAAACTAGTAAAACTCTAAAGGGTCATCATAGATCAAAGATAAAGATCAGATGAAATATTGATTAAAAAGTGCTTATCACAGTACCTGGCACAAAGTGGGTGCTATAGAAATGCTTATTCCCTTTCCTTCATAGACTGAAAAGATTTACAGATGAGATGGGAGGGGTCATTGAGGGGATCCTAGAGATCATGTAGTTCAACCTTCTGATGTTACAGGTGTTCAAGGTCGGTTTTCTACTCCCCCTCACCCCACTTCTCCATTCTATAATTTAATTTCAAACTATTTAGTTGATGGCACAAAAGAAGTGATTAATATTTGTAGAAAGAATGACTAAATTGAGCAGCAACATATTTAAAGCCTGGTAGGGTCATTGGTGAGGCTCCAGATTACTTAAAGTTCATTCAAGTGTTAATGATAGTCATTCATTCATTCAAAAACATATATCAAGCACCTGTTATGTGTCAGGAACTGTGCTATACTATTTTTCCTTTAGCTGACATATTGGAGTTGAGGGCTGTTACCGAACTCCTGATTGGATTGGATTTTAAGAAAATGATTCCTTCTCTCTCCAATCCCTTACCCCTACCCCGTATTTATAGGAATATTACAGAACTTTTCTTCTTGACTGGTACAATAGAAAGCTTAGTGCTCAAAAAATTGCAACTATGAACTTTTCTCATCATAAGTAAGAGTAAAGGAATGGTTACTTATATATTGATTCCTTTATTTTAAAAATAGCATACATGTACGATTTAAAAAAAACAATGTTCAATCATTTATTAGAAATAGTCAAACAAATATAATTAAAAGGTCAAAATGGTTTGCATAGGATATGACACCCCAAATACTAACTTTTTTTCTTTGTGGTAACTAACAAATTATGTTCTTGTATAAATCTCTATATGCAAAGTAAGGTGTAAAATTGAAGTTAAATAGCTTGGTAATTTAAATAGAAAACAACACAAAATATTTGCTTCAGTTAGATATTTATTTGAAATCTGTTATTAAAAACTCGCATGAATTCTCTATTTTTCTTTAAAGGCTTCAGAACACTTTAATAATGAAATAGGAACTTTTATCATTGTTAAAAAAACATCCTAGTCCTGGGAAAGCCTACACCTTTTTTTACATGTCTGCTTTTGTATCTCATTGCCATTCAATTGCAAACCACAATACAAATTTAATTTTTTAAAAAGCTGCTTTAAGTGGCTCAGTCTACTGCCCTTGATAGATCCACATTAGATAGTCAGTTTTCTAGCAGTGTCCTTATACTTAACCTCATTGACTTCCTTAATAGATTTATGTTTTGCTTATTTGGTGCTTTTGTTTAGCCGCATCAATCTGCTTTTAAGATTAATTTACTGTTTAATGTAATGAATTTTCTATTTGTAATTAAACATAGATAACTAGAATAGACAATAAACTTCAAGATTTTAAGTTTTATTAAATTAACCTGTGTATGAGAAAAGTCTATAAGAGAGGTTCCTGCCATTTTTTGGAAGTCACTACAGTGTGTCCTGTTTTAGATCAAGTGAATATTTTCCTGAACAACGACATTCAAGAATGATTTTGAATTTAATTAAAATAGTTGAAAACCTTAAAAATATGAAAAATCCATTTGTGAAACTAGCAATTCCTCAGAGGATAACCACTAATTTCAAGACTAGTACATTATAGTTTACCATAAATCATAAATTATGAAATTCTTTTCAGTCTTTACCCAAAGAAGATATATGTATATAGTCTCCATGTACATATATTTTTCTTATTATGCAAACATCTTCAAATTTATGCATAGAAGTAACAATAAAAGTTAAGTGAGACATATATAAAGTAGTACATAAAAAACCCCCAACATGTTTTCCATTTTTATTTATCTAGAAATGTATCTTTTTCTCCATTCTCCAAAACCATAATTACCATGGAAACCAAACAGCAAATTAAACTGAAATAACATGGGTTTTGATGTGCACAATAAGAAGGAACACCCCACAATTCAAATAGAATTATAACAATTGCACAGTACATCTGCATATAATCTAAAGTTGAATCTTTTCATTTAAATTAGGCTATGCCTACACTCCAAAGAGCAGTGGAGAATTAAGGCAATTATCAAGTAAAACAAACATTGTTACTTTAATTATCTAGAGATTTAATGAAAACTGTAATTTATCTTAAATTATCAAGATAATTGTCTCAATTACTCACCTTGATTTTTGTGTATTTGACCAGAATTAATACATTAGCCTTTGTTTCATTGCAATTTTAATAAAATGTAGAGACCGTCTGAAGGGAAGACTAGATTATAAATCTTCAAAATAAAATGTATTTTCACTTTAAAACTACCTTTATTTCTTACAAGTCATAGAATATAACTAGCTATACAAACACTTTATTAAAAATCACCTCTCATAAAATATATTCAGTTCATCCATTTGAAGGCTACTTTTATAAACACGAATTCTTAAGGCTTAGAATACTTTTTTCATGAGCTGACCTGCTCTGGTTGCCCCTTTCCCATACATCAGAAGCTCCTTGAGTGCAGAAATTCTTTTTTTTTTATTTTGTCTCGGTGTCACCAGAATCCAGCACAGTGCCTGGTACCTATTAATTGCCTAATAAATGCTTGTTGGTTGAACCTCTGCTGAATTGCATCAGAAGGACCCCTTCTGGGTTCACTGGGTCTCTCTTTCCTCTGTCTGTGGAGGGAAGGGCGGGACCTGTCAAGGTCACATTAAAGTGACCTATACTGAGACTATTTGATGATGGAAGAATACAACTTAACTCTCCCCTGCCTCATTTCTTTTTAAACATTCCAACAAAAATACTTCCCCTGAAGTCCCAAAAGCTATTGAATTACCTTGACAAAACCAACCTCTCCCTACTTTTGTCTCTATCTTCTTATGGTTTATAATGTAATATATAATATAGTTGAAAAGAACTATTTCTATAATATAGATTTCTATAATACAGTTGAAAAGAATTATTACTACTTCTCTGATCAACTCCCACGTCCTGGCATCTTTCAGGCATATTTAGATTGTTTCTGCCTCATCCCTGGGGCTGCTCGGGTTTTTTCAATCTTTAAGACTGTGTCAGAGGGAACTTACTGGAGCAAGCAACAACAATTTACCACTGCAACAGCAGCTCTGATTTTATGAAGTGCTTTCAGGTTTACTTTATGTTGTTGTTGTTTAGATATTTTTCAGTTTCGTCTGACTCTTCATGACCCCATTTGGTGTTTTCTTGGCAAAGATATTGGAGCGGTTTGCCTTTTCCTTCTCTAGCTTATTTTACAGATGAGGACACTGAGGCAAACAGGGTTAGGTGACTTGACCAGGGTCACACAGCTAGTAAGTGTCTGAGGCTGCATTTGAACTCAGGTCTTTCTGACTTCAAATCTGGTGCTTTATCTAGTGAGCCACTTACCTGCTCTACTTACTTTATATATGCTATTTCAAAATAACCTTTGAGCTAAGTAATGTAGTCTTATTTGTTTTTTTGGAATAGGAAACTGAGGTTCTGAGACACTAGTTGACATGCCTCTGGTCCCACAGTTAGTAATGGTAAAGGTGGGATTCAGACCCATCTCTCCTGATTCCACATTCATTATCTTTTCCATTCCACCATGTTGTTTCACAGACTTTCTATTTGATTTGCTGAAATCATAATATGAATCTGGTTCTAACTAAATCTTGTGGTTTTGAGTTGGTCTTCAGTTAGCTTAGAAATTTCCCAATACGTTCTGTTCTGTTTACCGCTGCTTTACGAAATCTGGGCCAATTCCAATTCAACTTAATAAAAAAAAAATAAGTACCTACTATATGAGAATACAAAGACAAAAGTGGAACTGTTTTTTTTTTTTTGGTGAGGCAATTGGGGTTAAGTGACTTGCACATAGTCACACAGCTAGTAAGTGTCAAGTGTCTGAGGCTGGATTTGAACTCAGGTCCTTCTGACTCCAAGGCCAGAGCTCTATCCACTGTACCACCTAGCTGCCCTAAGTGAAACAGTTCTTGACCCCAAGGAGCTTATATTATACTGGGAAAATACAACATGTACATAAATAAGCCAATATAAAGTGCATGCAAAGGGATTCCAAGAGGTACATTGTGTTTGGAAGGAAGCCAGGAATTCTAAGAGGTGGCATTGAGGAGGTGGTGCACTCCTGAAGTACCACGGCCTATGCAAAGGAATGAAGATGGGAGCTGCAACTCCAGAAGAGCTTTGGTCCACGACGAGCCCAGTTTGATTTTAGGCTCCTCTAATGAGGGTTTAAGGTCACTGTTCAAGTGCTACTGACCTAAGATAAAAATAACAACAATAATAATAGCTAGCTAAGTACTTTGCAAATATTATATGATTTTATCCTTACAACAATCCTGAGAGGTAAGGTACTACTATTATCTTATTTTACAGAGGAGGAAACTGAGACTCAGAGCGTTAAAATGACTCGCCCACAGTCACACAACTAGTAAGTTATTTGAGGCAGGCTTAGAGCTCAGGTCTTTCAGATGTCAAGTCCACTTTGAGGCTATGCAATGTGACACCTGGATACAGTTACTAACAGCGATAACACTTTAGAGATGCCCTAAACAAGACCCAGAATCCTCAGAATCTTTGGGTAGAGATAGACGGAAGGTAGGGATTTGATGTCAATAGGATGCTAACTCCGTAAGGGGTAGAATAATCTTGAATTAAAGCCCAT